CTTCCTTCCTTCCTTCCTTCCTTCCTTCCTTCCTTCCTTCCTTCCTTCTTTCTTTCTTTCTATTCTTTCTTTCTTTCTATTCTTTCTTTTTTTTTGTATTTAAGGACAGCGTCCACAGGGTCGACAGGGTCTCACTACGTAGATCGGACTTGTAGTGATCTGCCTGTGTTCAGCCTCCCAAGAGCTGGGATTACAGGTGCGCGCCACCACGCTCAGTCTCAGTCACCATCTCAGCGCACCCCAGGGGCACGGCTGGGATGGCACGCCGGGGATGGAACCCCGGCCGCTGTGTCTGCCTAAGCACATATGTCCTTTTTCAAGTCTTAGTGTCATGATTCGTGTATTTGTATACTGTTTTGTTGGCAATTTCTTGATTTAAAAGGACTCCCAAGACTAGTCCAGCAGGGCCGTCAAGTATTTCTAAGCCCAGTAGGGCTGCTAATGAGCCTTTACTCATGGAGAAAATATGTATATTCATTAAACTTTGTTTAAGTGTAAGCTGCAGGGCTATTTAGTTTCATTCTCTTTAAGTCCTGGTTCATTGTTAATTAATCAATTACATAAGGTGTCACTGAACAGAAATACACAGAACGTAGTCATATACTGATAGGTTGACAAAAGTATGTTCAGAAGTTTGGTGGAACCTTATCCTGTACCTTCCTTCCTTCCTTCCTTCCTTCCTTCCTTCCTTCCTTCCTTCCTTCCTTCCTTCCACTCTCTAATTTTGTTGTTTTTCTTTTTTTTTTAATCAATTTCTCCTTCCTCATTTTCTTTCCCTTCTTTCTACTTGGTTTTTCCCTTCCTTCCTCTCTCTTTCTCTCCCTCCCTTTCCCCCTTCCCTGCCACTTGCACACTAATCCAAGTGCTATACCACTGAGCTCTCACCCCAGCCTTTAGGGCCCATATTCCCCTAGGAGCAGTGGTTCTGTATTCACTAATTCAGTGAGCACAGCAACTTTGTAGAATATAACGACTTTGAATTGTGAGAAATGACTGCTCCAGTTTTCCTTAGGAGGGTAGGTAAGCTGGGGGCTCAACCGTGTCTTAATGTGAACTTCAAAACTGCCATTTAAAGCCAAGTCCCCCTGTGTACTCTCATCACTTCCTCTCCAGAGCATTGTCTAAATTACGCAGGCTTATAAAGTTTGAAAATGCTGGCCAGTGTAAAGGATGAATTAGGATCACCTCTTATGTTTCTGTGCACAAGCTGTTTTTATTATAGCTCGATGGATTTTCTTCCAGTACTTCTTTTTCCAGTATCATGTTATGTATGTTTTGGATGTTTTTTAAAACTTAATATTATACTGTTAGCATTTTCTCAAAACAGTTTGTTTGTAATGACCTCATTAATCACCCGTCACAATGATTATAACAATTGACATTACCACAGTGACATTTGAAGGTACCCCTTTTCCCTCAACATCACCAACACAGTGTGTTTACTTGCCTTTTTAATTTTTATCATATTGGGGGACGGGGAGATGGCTCAGTGGAGTAAGCGCTTCCCTGGCAAGCGCAAGGGCCTGAGTTCAATCCCCGGTTCTGAAAAAAAAATTACCATATTGATAAGTGGAAACAATGCCTCATGATAGTTTGAATTTATGTTTTTCTTATCTGGGTGTGGTTGATTTTCTTTTCATTTTAAAAGACTTGTTCATCATAGATATATTTTTGGTTCATTGCTTCTATTGTGTTATGTTTTCAGTAGAGTGTGAATGAACTATAAGTATGTCTTTTTGAAGCTATACTCGTTTGGCAGGGTTTGCCCAAGTTTCTTCTTGTTGCTGTTATTCTTACAGTTTCAAGGGAATTTTTTTTATATGTTAAGGAAGTCAGACCCTTTTCAGTGATAGGAAAGGCCACAATGACAAGAAAGACTAAAGCTGGGTGTAGTGATGCATGGCTATAATTCTGGCACTCTTGGGAGATTAGGACCCCAAGAGTCTCAAGTTCAAGCCCACCCTGGGCAATTTATGGGCTTAGTAAGACACTGTCTGAAAAACAAAGGTTATGAATGCAGCTTGGTGTGAAGGCCCTGTATTCAGTCCCAAATACTGCGATTATTTTCATACCTCTAAACACACATAGGTACAAAACAGTGGAGCAAATATGCTTATTTAATTAGGGTGAGTTTCTTATACCCACAAACTTCACTGTATAGTCACATGACAAGGGTGTTATCAGGATCAGTGATTTTGGAATTAGTGCTGTGCTAGAATTCATGGGATTTTTTTTTCTAAGTAAAAATGAAACTATTCTGTACTAACACACTGGTATAAAATGCAACTAACATTTTAATGCATGTTTAATTTACAAAAACTTGTAGTGACAGGTGAGCAAAGACGAATGGCAAGTATTCTTCCACAAGATTCTTACTACCGTAGTGTGTGGCTTCTCAGCCAGCAGCGCCTTCTGGAATCTTCACCTTCCACCCCAGAAGGACTGGACCAGAATCTGCATTCTGGTGTCATTATGCCGTGATTAACATATTTGTTAAAAATTGAGAAATGGTAGTCTAAATGACTTTCCAAGTCAGACATATTATGGGCCTATGAGTCAGTAAGAACGGGAGCCTCATTTTGCTGAGTTAATATTGAATCATTTTTAAAAATGTAACTCTTAGGTTTGGATAGCTTTGTATTCACTGTCAGAAACTTGCTTGTCAGTTGTTGCAGCTGGTGGTCACAAGACAAAAGGAGGGGACATGTTTTCAGGATTTCCTGTTCAGAGTTTAGACTGTGAAGGATTGTTTTCAAAAGGCCCAAACTATAAGTTTCGGATAGAATAATTTTGCAGCTATCCAGGCCTGATAGCATACTTTATTTAGAGCAGCTGAAATTTACCATTAGCAAAGAAAAATC